GCGGTGGGGGGGGGGGCTCGGCCGGCTGGGGCGGGGCTGGGGTGGCTGGCGGGGGCCCAGCACATAACTGGGTGGTTGCAGTCCAGGGCGCAGACAGCCAGCTGCTCCGAGTCGCACCGCCGCCGCCGACAGCATGAAGGTACCAGGCCCAGGGCGGGAGCCGTGGCACTGGGGGATGGAGCCCACTCCCCACCAGAGGGGCCTAGGGTGGCTCGGGGTTCTCTAGAAACTAGCTGTGAGGGTGCTGAGCCTGTCCCAGAGAGTAGTCAGGGGAGGGGCGGGAGGGCTGCAGGCAAGGGTGACATGTGTGATGGGGCACACGTAGGGAGCAGAGGCTGCACTGACCCCGTTTCTGTTGCAGGCCCTCCTGGCCCTGCTTCCGCTGCTGCTGCTGCTTCTCTCTACTCCCCCCTGCACCCCCCAGGCCTCCATCCGGGGAGATGGTAAGCAGCCTCTCCCCTGCTCCCCTGCCAGGCCCCGTCAGTTTGGGGACAGACTGGGCTCCAGGGCTGAGCTCACCAAGATTTGGCTGCTCCTCCACGAAACGGGGCAGGTGGACAGGATGTCGTATTCTCCCTTAAAGAAGTCTCGCCATTCCGTCCCCAGGACCTGAGGCCAGCTGTAGGGGCTAAGGTGTCCTTCCTAGTCCCTGTCCCCTCACTGTCCCCCCACAGCTCTGGAGAAGTCCTGCCTTCAGCAGCCCCTGGACTGTGACGACATCTATGCCCAGGGCTACCGGACAGACGGCGTGTACCTCATCTACCCCTCGGGCCCCAGCGTGCCCGTGCCCGTCTTCTGTGACATGACCACCGAGGGCGGGAAGTGGACGGTGAGTGAGTGGAGGGGAAGAGGCCAGACCTGGTTCTAGTCCCAACTGTGTGACCCGAGCTTCACCTGTTAGCCTGTTTCTTCACCTTTAAAATGGGGCAGTTTGCAAGCAGTTGCCAAAACTTGATTCTATGTGCCTGAGGCAAGTAAGTATGTGTAAGCTTCAAAATAATCCTGGAGGATAGGTACCTTTTCTAGAGAAGGAACCGAAGCTCAGAGAGGTAAAGTAACTTGCCCAGGGTCACACAGCCAGTACCAGAACGCATGCCCATGCACTGGACCTTGAGTATTTTTTTGTTTATTGCCAGAGAGGGCCTGTGTTCACCAGAGAGAGAGAGAGAGAGAGAGAGAGAGAGAGAGAGAGAGAGGAGAGGGGAAGGGAGAAAGCACCCACCAGATGTGGTCACACTTCAATCCTTCTTCCCCATTTCTCCATCCTGCCAGGACTTGGGGTATGCACACGCACGCACCTGGTTTGTTTTTCAAGCCACTGGGGCTGGGATCCAAACCATAGTTAGCCATGTGGAAGGGGGGGGGCGTGAGAAGAGCCCACATGGGCACTCCCGCAGCAGCCCAGGAAGGCCTTGACCGTGGCACGCACCTTGCTTTAGTAACACCCTCAAGCCCACTCAGTCCTCGAACAAGCTGGCCTCGGCAGCACGGGGTCTGTGCCTGGTGAGCAGGGCGGAGTGAGGGCCCCACCACGGGATGCTTGACCATTTAGTGCCTTGTCCTCTCCGCTCCAGATTTTCCAGAAACGGTTCAATGGCTCTGTGAGTTTCTTCCGGGGTTGGAATGACTACAAGCTGGGATTTGGCCGTGCTGATGGAGAGTACTGGCTGGGTAAGGCGGGGGCCAGGTGGGCTGGGGTCGCCTCAGAGCTAGGCCCTTGCCACCAGCTGCTCCTTTCCCCAGGGCTGCAGAACCTGCACCTCCTGACGCTGAAGCAGAAGTATGAGCTACGAGTGGACTTGGAGGACTTTGAGAACAACACGGCGTATGCCAAGTACGTCGACTTCTCCATCTCTCCCAACGCCATCAGTGCTGAGGAGGACGGCTACACCCTCTATGTGTCAGGCTTCGAGGACGGCGGGGCAGGTATACCTTCTGTCGGCTTCAGTTTTAAGAGGGGCTGTGGGGGGAGAAAAGGCAGGGCTGGCCCTGCCAGGTGAGCCCCTGACCCCCTCCAAGCCCATCCTTTAACCCGCCTGGGCCTGGAAGCAGCACAGTTGGCTCCAAACCAGTTGGGCCTGGCTCTGGCCCAGGCAGCCCGGTAGAGGAGCAGCTGTCTCTCTTTGCTGTAGCTCATCTACCCAACATCTGGCTCAGGCAGGGTACCCCATCTCGCCAGGATGCTATCACCCTCTCCCTGCCAGCCTGGGGCTCCGTGCCCTGCCTCAGCAGCCCCATCCTTCCTGTATCCCGGCCAGGTGACTCCTTGTCCTATCACAGCGGCCAGAAGTTTTCCACCTTCGACCGGGACCAGGACCTCTTTGTGCAGAACTGCGCAGCCCTTTCCTCAGGAGCCTTCTGGTTCCGCAGCTGCCACTTCGCAAACCTCAACGGCTTCTACCTGGGGGGCTCCCACCTCTCCTACGCCAACGGTATCAACTGGGCCCAGTGGAAGGGCTTCTACTACTCCCTCAAGCGCACCGAGATGAAAATCCGCCGGGCCTGAGGGGCTGGCCCCATCAGGCCCCATCCCTCCCTTGACCTCCCTAGGTCTCCATGAGTGTCCCCTTTGCTAGCCCTCCCCACCCAGCCCCTGCACCCCCGCCACACTGCTTCTGCTGCTCCCTGAGCACCAGCTTCTCTCAGGGGACCTTGGGGCTCTCAGCCATGGCTGATCCCCATCTCACACCCAGGGCATCCATCTCAGCCAGGCCCTACTCCCCCCACCTGAGGCTAAGCTGCCAGCAGCTCCCCAGGCCTTTCCTGAACAGCACAGTGGTCCTGGCTTAGACTTGGCTGGGCTTCGCAAGGCTGCGTTGCCTCTGCCCTGTGCTGGCAGCTGAGAACCAGGAGATATCCTTCCAACTGCAGGCTTTTGTATTCCACCCTGGCCAGCCTCTTAGCAGTGGTCTCATCTGGGGCTACCCTAGCATGCTAGACTGAGTGGAGCAGTCTGACCAACACTCAAAGCAGATGCCAGGCCACTCACGGCCACACCCAGCACTCCCTCTGGTTATTCCCAGGTACCTCCCATCCTTGGCCTGCCTCCCTCCCTCCAACTTACTCCCCTGTGAGCACCATGGACCCCAGTCCCAACTCACTATCATTCTCAGCTCAATGCCACCACAGCAGTCACCACAGCTACTGCCCACCACCCTGAAACAGCCAAGGTAGGCATGGACATGAGGTCCCCACCCACCTCAGGAGATGAGGTTCGGTCACATGGGAGGTGGAGAACAATTTCTGTGGGGGAGTGGAGATTACAATAAACCTTCAGGACGTGAGCGAACTGGCTTCATACACATAAACGTATTTGCTCAGCCCCCAAATATAGGCACCTGGCTTCTCCTTGCTCCCCTACTGAGGGAGAAATCCTGCCCCGATTCCAAAAATGACACCTGGAGTCAGGTGCTGAAGGTAACCTTGTATTTCACAGGCCTCATTTTGATGGCAAAAAGTCTGCATAATAATATTATAATAATAAAAACACAATACTAAAAAGAATCGCTCAGGGGGAACTGGGGTCTCCAATCCTGTCACGGCTTGGTGGTGGCTCAGGCGGCTGCTTAAGGCTAAAGGGTGGGTCTGAGATGAACCTGCAGAATAATTGAAGCCGAGTCTACCTGCCAGGCCCAGGGTTGAGGCCCTGGGGAATGCCCTCACAGGCCCTGAAGCTGCATCCTCCCTGGCAGTGAAGCATAAGCTGTAGGCTTCAGGGCTCCTGGAGATCAGGCAGGTCAGCCAGCAGCATTGGGGAGTCCATCTGAATTTCACGCTGTAGCGACTCAATGTCAGCGGGGTTCATGCCATGGCCCTCAAGCCAGTCAGCAAGCAGGGAGGCCGAGAGTGAGGCAGAGTCCGCTTGGCTACAGGGGAAGGAAATCGTGGAGGGAGGGAAGGCACTGTTAGTTTAGGCTGGCTCCTGCCCAGCCCACAGGTGAGTTCCTCCTGCATTAGGAGCCCTTCCCCACACCCCGTCTGGATCTCAGTACAGCCATCTTACCCATCCTGTGGCCCGTCAGCCACGCCCATGTCGAAAGACTGGTTTAAGAACTCTTCCAGGTCAAAGCCAACACCATAGCCAGCTCCACTGCCCTTTGGAGTGCCCGAAAACACAGGGGGCAGGGGGTCCTCCACCTGTAGGGGACGACGGCAGGTTACAACACTGGCCCCAGAGAGCAGACAGGTCTGCAGGATGCACTGCCTGATGCTGCTGACTGCCCCACCCGGACCCCAGGAACGCCAACGCCAGTCACAGTGACAACCAGGTGCCAGCCAGAGCCCACGTCTGGGCCAGGCACTTTCTAGGCATTATCTCGTCCCTACAACCTTCTCATTGGTGTCAATCCCTCTATGAACAAGTGGACACATCCAGGGAAACAAAGCCTATCTGCTGTTCAGTTTTTGTGGAACAAGGACCACTCCCTGAACCCATCTTCCCTGGGCCTAGAACCAGGTATCCCCATGAGCTGGGCTGCTCCTCTCACCTGTGACTTGGACAGCTGCTGGGTCACCAGGTTCACATCAGGCGACTCTGACGTGGAAGGCTGAGGGGGCCCCCCAGGGTCTGGAGGTGGTGGGCCAGAAGGGAAGTAAGGCAGAACTCCCAGGGTGCTAGGACCAGGCAACCCAGGGGGTGGCAAAAGCGACTGGGGGGCCAGGAGGCTGGTGGTTTGAAGAGGAGGAGCAGGGACAGGCCCAGGTGGGCAGGCAGGCTGGGGAGCAGGAGCAGGGGTGGAGCCTGTAGGCTGCAGTGGTGGGCCAGAGGCAGGACTGGTGGGCTGGGCTGGAGAGGGGGCTGGGGCTGGGGTAGGGGTAGGGGTCGGGGCTGGGACC